GATGAAAAGTTGTAGCTCTCTTTATTTCAAAGTAAATTCTTTATTCTTTTTGTGTTAAGAAAAGTTACTTACCAATGGTAATATCTTTTACAGAATAAATAATTAGTATTCAAATTTAATTTCAGAAAATAGACTAGTTTTCCATCGTTAACAAGAATAGTACCATATTCAGTAGAATCTCACAAATGAAATCCAAAGAATATAGTATGTATACAAAATCTTAATATTACCTCATGGACTTTCAACCATTGATTATTTTTTTTTTAAAAAAGTAATACAAATAACAGATTCCAATACACTTTTAAAGACGAAATAAAATTTTTTATTAATAATATTCAATTATAATTTAATTTTCCACCGACAATCTAAAAATTGTTCTAAAGCATCGGCTAAATTCAAATTATACATAAAAAAAATTCATTCGAACCTGACGTTCCCACCACCTAGTGTAATTTGATTAATTTTAGCAAAGAATAGAATAATGCAAATTTTGTTTGTGTTTGTGTGTAGCAAGCAACTAAAACTTAAAAAGTGGTCCCAAAATCACACAACCAATAAAAGACCTGTACTAATTCTGAAGAAAAACATAAGTGGGTTCCCAAACAGGCCCTTATCCTCATACTCATGGTGGGTGCCTTGTGGTGACAGATGTCGGTACTATAACTTTAATCCTTTGTAATGTGATTAGTACTTTTAATTTCTTAATTAATCCTTTATTACTAATATATATATACACTAATCCTAAAATTATATAATTTCTCGAGAGGTGCATTCATCTGCCCAATTACTTCATGATTCCAAATACCTGCTAGCCACTGCTTTTATTATGTATTTTTAATTAATATAAATAAAATTCTCTCTCCGGGACCAATTAATCACTTAATTAGGTGAATGTTTAAGTAATATAATTTTGCTTTTACAGAAAATATTAGTTAATGGTCAACAGTTTTTGCCTGCGTACAAATTGACCCCTTACTGTATTATTCTCTATACACTTTGGACCATAATCGAAAAAATATGATGAGTGGATTAAAAGTTTGCAAATGGTAAATGTATGTGTGTCAAATTTGAGAAAAAGGGAAGAAAAGTTGCGTAATATGATAAAGTTATGATTGTTATATTTATTTATTTTTTTTTTTATCTTTTTCGTATTCTACCTTATTTGTTGGCTTGAATTTCATCTTTTTTTTTTCCGAGAGTTACGACAACCTGTCGATAGACTAAGACTTAAACGAATTGAATTATACCATCGTTGTTAGATGCTGATGCTGATGGAGATTTTCATTTAAATTATCTTCCACGACTAGCCTGAAAGAATCAATTAATACCCCTTATTGATGTTATTATTATGATTTTCCCTTCTTTTTAGAAAAATTATGTATGGCATTTTTTCTTAAACTATACAATTTTCATGATATTAGGTAAAATACACACACCAAAAAAAAAGGAACAGGTCGAATGATAATTTAGAAAATTTTTTGCACATTCAAAATTTCAAATTGTTAAGTGGTGCATATAATCATACTATATAAGCCCCATATTCCTATCACTAAAAATGGAATACACGTACGTTTTTCCACTGACTATACTCACTTTCAAGCAAACATTATTTATTTTTACTTGAAGTTTATCAAGAAAATTCCAAATTCAAGAGTAGGAAAATTGATATTCTATTAAGAAATCAGATTGGAAATATAGATTAGCCTGTAACCTTTTAAACAGCCCAAACGTCACACAAAATAACTCATCAATTTACTCCTAACTAATGAACTCAACAAAGAACTAATAACTCGTGTTTAGTACGAAGGAAAATATTTTTCTGGATACAAGTAAATTTTTTATTTATCTTTTCATGTTTAATTGGTGAATAGAAAAAATAAAATTGGAAATATTTTTTAAAAGCAACTTAATTTTCTTGGAGGGGGCGGGGGGAGGTCGTGGATAAGGACAAGTGGGACGAAAAAATAAATATTTGAAATTGAAAACTTAATCTTTTGGGGGAGGGTGATGGGGGGTTATTTTCCTTTATTCCGAGGAAAATGAAATGATTTGGAAAACATTTTCCAAAACTTTTAACGCAACCAAACATGAAAAAATCAAAAAATTCTTTCATACCAAACACACCATTAAGTCTTTTTAACTGATCTAACTTGAATATTCAATAGCAACATTCACTTGTTCATTTCAAGTTGAAGTAATAATTACAGGTCAGATATAAACATAATCACATATTTGAAGAAAAAACAGAATAAAAAATCAAATAGTAAGTATAGTACACTTCCATTAGCTTTTGCAGTATACTTTAATTTACATTACAACTTAATATAGAAGCCTAGATTTTACTTTCATCTCCCTTTGAGAAATTGAACAAAAACTTGGAAATAAAAGAAGAATCAAGACATTACATATATTGGCCAAACAACTTTACTATTCAAAATGGGACATTAATAACACCCAAGTCATGTTTGTTGTAAGGATAAAACACACTATCTAAGCAACAAAATTTCTTAGACACATCTGTGGTAGAAGGCCAATAAGGGTTCTCCACCAATTGATGGTGCCTAAGCCCATCAACCTAGTTCACTTCTCAAGCTATGGGCAAATTTGTTGCAAAACACATGGTGAGAAAAGGGCAATCAACAACGGATATCTTCTTAAACAGCCGATGAAATCGTCCTTGCTGATCTTCCCATCGCAATCTATATCAAATAAGGTGAAGAGTTCACCCATCTGCAACGATCAAGACAAAAGAAGCTTAAATAAGATGTGTATTGCAATCAGAAAACCATAGATTTTTAACAATTTAAGCATCTAATTGAATCTCCACTTCAGTTCATTCACTAAACATTTCTTACAGGTTAAATGAACACCGATTGAAGTTGTAAATCTTGAATTGACCTAGTTTACATGCCAAAAGTAGTACAGATACATATCCAGTCCAAACAACAATGTTTGAGTGGCTTTAGAGTTTTCCAGGACTAACCAAAAACCAACTCACCTCATTGTTACTCAAGCCAGGAATCGATAGCATAAGAGAATCCCCAAACTGAAAAAACATATGGAAATTTATAGGGACAAGTCAAATAGGTAGTAGGCTGATAAGAAGAGCTATCAAACAAACCGAATGGAAGTGATAGTACCTCTTTCTCCAGAATGCAGTTCTTCCCATCACCATCACATGCAGTAAAGGCTGATTCACAGGCTTGATAAAATAATGGCTGCTTCAAGACATGAGCTGACCCTACCAAAAACTGAAAGCAGTAGACATATCAATCATGAATTCTAAGTCTAGAGCTCCATTCACGACACAAAATCTGCCCCCCGATCCCGTCGAACCCACTTTTTGTACATTTTATCAGAAAATGAATAGCTTAATTTCATGCATTATACAACTGGAGCGGAAGCAATAATAGCACCTGCTTGAATATGGTTCCTAAAGCTACAACTTAAGCAGATAACAGCTAGATTTCAGAACAATTTCTGGAGGAAGAGCACCTGCTTGAATGTTATTTTACCGCTTTTCTGCACGTCAATGAAGCCAAATATCTGCATTACAAGAAGAATAGCTCAGGGAGATGAAGCAGGTTATTGTACTTTCTTATCAGCAATCTCTTTCAACAAAATAGAATTCTTTTTAAGAATATTATTGTACTTTACAAATAAAATTGATGTCATTGACATATCTTAAGCTTCCTATTATTTGACAGTAACTGGTATGAATTTCAGAAACAATAACCTTCCCTCTAATGTATAATTGCAATGTTTGATATGTCAAGTTGCTCATGATTGTTGAAGCATGTGAACCTTAGGATCTAAAAGTTAAAGCTACTAGCGAGGCTACACTTTCATTTACTTAATTATGTCATCACAACAACCCCTCACGTGCTTGGCCCATTTCTTTTATGTGGACCAAGATGTCGACATTAATCTAATGAAGGGTGACTTTCAAACTCAACCAAAAAAAACTCTATTTGATATCCTTATTTGCTTTCAATGTCTTCCAATCTAATGTGGCCCCTCTCTAGCTACTTGATATCAGCAGCTTAATTTTTTAAATGGCCACCCATTAGCTGTCCTCATGCTTCAAAGAAAAAGAATTAAACCTGCACATGAAAAGGTGTGCTGCGTACCTAAGATAAAAAAAATGAGTAATCCCCTTACAATTAAGCTTTTTGATGAGGCGGTTCACATAATTTAACAATGGTGACCTTTCTCATCTTATGTTTGAGGATTAAAGTGGTCTATCAGGAAAGGCATTGAACCGAAAAAAGGACCAAGTAGAATAGTTTTCTCAAAAGCTGATAACCAATGACAGCAAACCCAAAGATGAAGACAGAAGAGACATTTAAAAGCCCAAGAAAGCAACTCCTAAAACGTATAGATTACATAACTATGTAACCAGTGAAAAACATAATCATAATTTCAGGGAAACAGCTGCAATGGAGTGAATGATGAAAGCAGCAATAAGAAA